AAATTGTAAGTGGGGTATAGGTATACTATCTTTTCCAACCCTCCATCCCCTCACTAGACCTCTTGAATATGCTTCTCAATTAACCTCCCCAACACTTCTGCAATCACGGTGAAAAGGAAAGGAGAGAGGGGGTCCTCTTGTCTAATTTCCCTTAAAGATGGAAAGTGATCCACTACACAATTTGCACCATTTCTTCCCGAAGCCAAAGCAATCCGACACTTGCATAAAAAAAGATCAATCAACCATATCATAAGCCTTTTCTAAGTCCAACTTACACATAATCCCTTTCTTCCTTATTGTCTTCAGATCCCCCACACACTCATTGGCAATTAAACTTTGATCCACAATCTGTCTATCTCCCACAAAGGCTCCTTGATTCTGTGAAATTAGATTTGGAAGCACCTCTCTAATTCTTCTAGACAGGACCTTGGCAATTATCTTACACAAGTTATTAACCAAACTGATGGGTCTAAAGTCTCTTGGATGACTTTCTCCCACTTTCTTTGGGACCAAAGCTATAAAGGTTGAGTTCAGTCCCGGATTTATCACCCCCCTTTGGAAGAACTCATTGAAGACTTTAATGATATCCTATTTTAGAATCTCCAATAGTCTAGTAAAAAGCCATGGTGAATCCATAAGGCCTAGGTGCTTTAGATCTATCCATTAAAAAGATTGCTTCCCTAATTTCCTCCTCAATCTTTCTTTCCAGCCACCTCTTTTTCTCCTCAAACAGTTTTGGCCAGTCCAAACCTTGTAACTAGAATTTCTGATTTAAGGGCCTTCTATAAATCGACTTAAAATGCTCCACAAAGGCCCTAGCAATCTCATCCTGCTGAGTAATAGACATCCCATCAACCTCCAATTTGAAAGGTGTGGGGTGGGCCCTCTATTTCCAAGATCCTCCCTCACTAATGTAGTAAGCCAATGATCTGAAGTTACCTTAGGCAAAGTTCTAGAAATAACAACTCCCCAGTGGTCCTCCCAATCTGCTGTGAACAAAAACCTATCCAGTTTAGAGCATATAGGGTTCTCCTGAAGGTTAGACCAAGTGAACAAACCATGCAACAAAGGAATCTCTTACAACTCAGAACTGTTGATAAGGTTGTTAAAGCTTCTCATGCTGGTAGTAATACCTCTCCTCACACTATTGGTCTCCTCCAAGAATCTGATGACATTGAAATCTCCTCCTAAACACCATGGGCCTTCCCAAAGTCCTCTAATGTCTCCCAATTCCTCCCAAAATTCACATCTTTCTTTGTAACCAGTTAGGCCATATACATTGGTTAGTACCCATTCAAAATTGTCTACCCTATGCCTGAATTTAATGGAGACAGTAAACTTTCCATCAGCTCCTCCGCTCCCTCCATAGCCTCTTCTTTCCACAGTGTGACAATTCCACCTGACCTCCCCCAAGAAGGGCACACAGCCCATTTGATTCCCCTTGCCTTCCACAGAGGTCTAGCATGTCTACTCTCAAACTCCATCAACTTAGACTCCTGAATCAGCACTACATCCAAATCTTCTCTTCTTTTTATTACTGGCCTTTTCCTAACCCCCCCCCCCTGTTCCCTAACATTCCAGCTGAGAATCTTTATCTTCACTTCCTAAGGACCCCTTCCCTGTCCCTTTTTCAGTTAATCCCTCTTCTTCTCCCCGTTCTATCACTAAATTCCTTATCTTCTTCTACATCTCTCCTCAGCCTCTTTAACTCACTTAGCTTCCTCTTTCTCGGTTTGCCCTCTACTTTTCTTTCCTCAGAAAAACCTTCAAGTCATTTGGCTTCTTCACTTTACACCCCATTTGCTCAACAAAGTCTGCTGCCAAATCCTTTTTATTAGCTTCCTTGGAAGCACCTTCCTGCCTTCTCTCTTTGTTCTCCTCTTCCCTTACCTCCCTTGTCTGCCAGTTCCCATATGTACTCCCATCCCCTAGAATCCCACCCAAAACATTTGTTTCAGCTTCTTTCTTTTTCGCTTTTTCCAAAAAAAAAATCAATCATCTTCCATATTCTCTCACCCACCTCCACCTCTTCTTCACTCAAACCCCTTTTTCCTTTGCTATCCACCCCAACAGTCTGAAGGGTCTGCATCAAAGAGGCTGGCTAGGAATCTGGGACAAAGGCAAAAGATGATGAGTTAGTACCAAAAACAAAATTCACAGTCGTAAGTCCAGGACAGGTTTGGTAGATGATTGAATAAACCCTTCTGTGGCTAAGGCCACAGGACCCTGGGTTAAACCAATTTCCTCAGATGGAGCTAATGTTTAGGAAATGCTTCCTGCAAAAGAATTTTCTTTCGACATACTCCCAAGGCTCTGTGGCTCACCACTGTGTGGAGCATCTATGACTGGCTGGCGGTGAGTCACCCCTATCTGCTCATCAATAACCTGCTCTCTGTTCATCGCTTGGTTAAGTTCTTGCTTTTTCAATTCCATGGTATTGCCCCTTCCAACCAAATCCAAAATTGTGTCTACTCCGTCCATAATCTTAGCCAGCTTTAGAACAGGGGAAGCAATTGCCGCAAATTGTTCTTCACCAAACAGTATCGAGGTGTCAAACACTTCTTCAAGAACAACCACTTCTGTGAGATCTTCCAAACTTTTCGCCTCCAAAGACTTAAGCAATATTGTGTCCTCATCATCTGAAGTTTCACAGTCAATCCACCCCTTGTCTTCCACTTCCAAGTCTTCTCTGTTCATTCTAGTGTATCTTGGATTCGGGTGTTCCGTACTAATCCTACCTCCTTCCCATTCTTCCTGGGTGACTCTCAGTCTCCACTGCAACATTCCTTTTTCCCCCCAGTGGCTTTTTTTCAAAACAACTTCAGTTGGGGACGATGATAGACCACAGTCTTTGTCTATCAAATTCCAAACCTGACTCCCACCCACATGACTGTTAAGAGAGTCACATGAGTTCAGGGGCTTGGTCAACTCTTTGGTCTGGCTAACCCAAGCCCGATTCAATTCAGTGGGTTGAGTCTTAAAGTTGGCTTGCATCGGTCCCCTTACCACATCTGCGAAAGAGGGCCCCACACCTTTAATTTTTTAATTAACCTCCTTCGAACATGTTTCTTTTTCAAGATGCCCGCCTAATCCACCTCCCTTACCCGACTGTTCCCCTTCCCAAAATAAAGTTCCTTTGCCCTCTCTCCCACCCACCACTGTAGATTTTCCACGTAATACTCCACCTCCAGAGCCTCCACCTCATAATTATCTTCCACCATAGAGACTCTTCCACTGTTCCACATCAACACTTTCACTTCCGTCAGAACCCAAACTTTCCTCCATAACTCGTATGAAAAAAACGCTTACCACTCGAGGTATCTCCTCCGGCCTGATTCCCCAGACTTTCACCTTAACCGCTTGCAGGTTACAGAAGTTGCATTCCTCCAATTTACCCCCCATTATATGGACCATCTTCTCCACCACCGACCTCCTCCAGTAGTTGAATGGCACCCTGACGAGTTTAATAGAGAACTTATCCACTTCAATGTCTTCCTCATTGCAAGACATACACCATTCCTTGATGACAATCAACCCTTTCTGGGTGACAACAGAAGAGAACTCCATCATTTCACCCCACACATCAAGGATAGCTTTGCAATTGCTGAAAGGCACCACCACCACAGGCGTGTGAAGCTAAATTTCTTTACTATCTCATCCACAACCGGCTGCCAATCATTAATCTTTTTGGCTGCTGTTAGCACAAACCTACTCGTCCATCTCCTTTTATCCACTTCCAACTCCAGTTTATGCGTTTTAACAGAGCATGCCAGTTCACATTTTGAATCCTGTTCCACAACTGCTTCTTCAGTTTTTTGGTTTGTATTATCCATGGCAATGTTACTCTGCACCTTCCCTTCTTCTATTTCCGGATTGGACTTAAGTGGCGCCGCCTCAGTCTTCTCTGTTGCCACCAGGTAATCCTGTAATTTATCCGCAAAACCTTTCCATCCTGTAGTTCTTCATTTCCTGTTGTTCCTCAGCTTCGCCATGAAACTCTTCCTCTCCGTATTCAATTTGACCCTTCCAACCATTTTCTTTTTTTTTGTGTACATTGCTCCATCGACAAAGCCTTTAACCCAAGCTACCGCATCTCTAACTAGAAAGATTGAGGACTTCTTTTCTCCCCTGATTTTCAAGCAGGTCTTACTGTTGCTCCTGCATTCTTCAAATTCAAATCTCTTTGCCTCACATTCCCATCCCTTCTTCCACCTCATCACCGGCTTGAACTCCATCTTGCTATTCTGTTGCCATCTTGTTCTACTTTTTTTTGGTCCTTTTTCTCCTTCTGGGCCTGGTTTAGGTGCTGCCCCCCATTTATTACCAATGAAAGGGGACGAGGCCAAAATCATTGGCCCATCTTCAGGGCTTAAAACTAATGAAGATGAACCGTCTAAGGAAGGTGGAGATGAAGGAGAACTGCCAGCCCCCATTATTTCTTGGATTAAGAAACAGGAAGAAGTTCCATGGAGATTTAGGCATCTGGTCAGACTTGCATAAAACATAGGACCCAGTTTAAACTCACATTCAAATGGATACCTTGAAGTGCAAATATGGTGGCTGATGCGTCTGCAAAGACAGGTGTTGTTAGGGATCATATGAAATGGGGCTTCCGGGATTGGGAATCAATCTGTAATTCTAAGATAATGATTTAATTTTCCATCAGAAGCTGGCTTTGTAAATATCTGGGTGTTCTGTCTTATTTTCAGGGCAGCTAGGAGTTTTATCTAATATTTTTTTTTTCTGTTGCTTATGAAAAAAAAAAAAAAACAAAAGGGGAAAATACATGCCATTACCCTTACTACAATTTGCTTGCACAATATGTTGAGAACTCATTATTTTTTTAATTTAAATGGATTTGTTAAATAGATCATGTTTTACAATTTCATTTAATTTAAAGCCATGCCTTTTCTTACATCATGGTGTGTGAGGGAATATAACATGAAATTTAAGAGCTTATGAATTGCTTTGGTTGTATTTTGTGTGTGTGTGTGTTATAGGCAATTGCGTAATTTGGAAAAGGCTTTTGGTGGAGATGTTCGGGTTTGTGACCGCACTGCCCTCATCCTGGATATCTTCAACCAGCGAGCTGCAACACATGAAGCAGCTCTACAGGCAAACCCTTCATCCCACTTTGAAATATTATTTGGGCATTCTGTTCTGGGCTTAGTTATAAACAGTTTTTTTTGCTGTCTCTTGGGGGAGTTTGCACCTTGCTACTCCTCTCTCTTCAACGAAATCTTTCTTTTATCTATCAGAATATATATATATATATATTTGGGCATCCTATCAGTATTACCTTTATTAACAAGAATAGTCCTCTCAGGTTGCATTGGCACAAATGGAGTACCAACTACCACGTTTGACAAAAATGTGGACTCACCTTGAGCGTCAAGCAGGAGGCAAAGTGAAAGGAATGGGTGAGAAACAAATTGAAGTGGACAAACGTATATTAAGAACTCAAGTAAGGTGTATTTTTTAAGGTTCAAAGACCTTATCTGTACACTTTGTTCAATCTAAAGTCTTTTAGGTCATTCTACTTGACAGAAACTTGTTTGGAACTTGGATGATAAATATACACATATTATGCAATTTATTTCTTTATCATAATCTATTTTCTTTGCCATCCTTTCTTTTTGCTGCCTCAAATTGCATTGAGAAGACTTGCATTCTAGTTCTTTTCTGTCATTTGACTCACCAATTCTTCTGAATAGATTGGTACTCTTAAAAAGGAGCTAGAATCTGTTCGACAACATAGAAAACAGTACCGCAATCGACGTTTTTCTGTACCTGTCCCTGTAGTGTCTTTGGTGAGTAAATGCATGGATGCTGAAGTTCTATATAGTTGCATGCACATACTGCTCAACAGATTCCCCAAACATAGAGTAAAATGTGTTGTATTTTAGGTTGGGTATACAAATGCTGGAAAGAGCACACTCTTAAATCGATTGACTGGTGCAAATGTTCTTGCTGAGGATCGACTATTTGCAACTCTTGATCCAACCACAAGAAGGGTACAGGTCAGTCAATATATCTAGATAAACCTCTCAAATTGTACAAAGTTTACCATTCCAAACTAAATGCTAAATGCTAATTTATTTGAATTTATATTCAAGATGTAATATATTTCATAGTATGTAATCAATTTGGATCTTCCAAATGAACATGATAAAGTGATTAACTTCTTCTGGACATATTTGGGACTAGAAGATGCCCCAGATACTTTGTTCATAGAATGATTTTTTTTTTTTTTGTGGAAGTTCATAGAATGATTTAGAACTGTAACTTTCATTCAATAACCAATAGTGGGATATGCTTATATAACTGAATTGTGGTACAGGTGAAGAATGGGAAGGAGTTCCTTCTGACAGACACTGTTGGTTTCATCCAAAAGCTACCAACTATGCTGGTTGGTACTTTCAGCATTCATATTAGATTTTGTAATGATGGTATTATCTTCTCATAATCTATGTCAGAGCAGCTAAACACATCACTATCATTTTTTTTTCTAACCTGGTTGTAGAATCAGAAGTTTGTTGAATGCTTATTCATTATCAGGGGAAAATTTTCACTTCCACATGGTAATTTCTTGCTACAGGTTGCTGCTTTCAGAGCAACACTAGAGGAAATAGCAGAGTCATCACTTTTGGTGCATGTGGTGGATATCAGCCATCCACTGGCGCAGCAACAGATAGATGCTGTCAATAAAGTCTTATCTGAATTGGATGTTGAAACAATTCCAAAATTGACAGTTTGGAACAAGGTATAGATATATTTCTTTAGACACGCAATTCCAGTGCTGTTTTAGTGGGTCAAGTTTCTCCACTTCGAGAATTATAGTTCATGGATGATATATGCAGTGTTATGAATCTAATGAGGGGAACCTATGCAACTAGGGCACTCCCTTTTCTGTAATTTGATTCTGTAGTATGTCCAAGCATTCAAAAAATTGATACCTTTACATTCATTTTTACCTTTATAAAGCATTTGTTTTTCTGCTTATGCATGCCAATTTACCTGACATCTTGTGTTATCTATGGTTTTCATTGGTTCTCTTATCTGTTGGGGGATTGATAATGTGCTATTATCTTTGTTACATGGGATGAAAGGGCAAATATCCACTGGTTCTTTTTTTTTTCCTTTTCTATTTGGAGGGTTAATGATGGCGGTGTCTATAGGGCTTCTTTGGGACCTTAAGTTGAATTGTTTAACAATAGCAGCTAAGGTGTAGCAGCTGGAAAGAGATGACCAATGTTTGGGCCATGAATCTTATACACAGAGCTTAGGTGAATGCCAGGAGGATTCCACTTATACACGGAGCTTAGGTGAATGTTGCCAGGAGGATTCCACTTGTACACAGAGCTTAGGTGAATGCCAAGAGGATTCACATGTTTGTCACTTTACTTTTGCCTTTTTGGTCAGTTTCAAAGAAACCATCTTTAAGGGCATTTTTATTGTAAAAAAGATACGGTCACTGGCTGTTGTCACTATGGCTGACTTGATTGTCATGGTGTACTGTCTGGTGTAAACTGTAAAGGAATGTGTATCAGATATATGATTTACATAGGCTGGTCTCTCTGCTGATATGATTGTGTTCTTTTGGGTTTTTTGGACTTTTTTATCAGAAATGGTAACTTTCATTCATTAATTAATAAATATAGTAACAAGCACCCCAATAAGGAATGTTGAACCCTACAACTTAGTCCACTATTGCAATGCAGCCCAAAAATTCAGCCCCGGTTGACCCTTGTTTAGCTAAACCATTAGCCAAAGCCCTTAAACTAACTTCCTGCATCCATTCTATCACCAATTTTAAATCCCCTTCTGCTTCAATTTGATAGAAACCCAATTGTTTAGCTAATGACAACCCTTGGAGGAGGGCCTTCACCTCCGCTTTTAATGAATCTCCCACTGCTATTGGCCTCAAAAATAGGGCTAAGAGTCTTTCTTCTCCATCTCTTAGGGCTAGGGATCTTCCTACCCATGATGGTCCCAGATTACCAAATGAGGTTCCATTAAGGTTCAGCTTAACTCTTTGCTTTGTAGAAGGTGCCCAACTTTGTTGCACTATAGGCTTGTACCTTGAAGAATTATCTATTACATTCCAGCTCTCGATTATATCATCAATTGAGAACATAGTTGTCAAGGCGACGCCTAGGCGACAAGGCGCCCTTGGAGGCTCGCTTCGCCCAGTCTCCTAGCAGTTTTGCGCACTGGGTTATAAAATACTTTTATATTTTTAATTTTTTGACATTATAATTATAAAATAGACATTATTAAATTAGAATATTCATTTTATGTGTTTATATACTAATTTCTTTTTATTATTTTATTATTTTATTATTTTCTTAAGGTTTAATCAATGCAACATTGCTAACTGCTGTATTGAACCCATGGTTCACAGTATTGATACACCTCTGTGTATAGGTAGAGGTGTATCGGTACTTATAACGATACTCCCGTTAATTTTTTTTATCTCTTTGGTTTTCAATTTCATTTTTAAATATATATTATTTAAAAAAATGGGTCCCCAAAAACACCTGTAAATAGGTATCGGGACCCCAAAGATACAATGCAATACACCTGATATGGGGTGTATCGTATTGAAATTTTGATCCTTGATTGAACCCTCAAAAATTTCAAAACCTGAACCTATAAGCAAAGGAAGAACTTAATTTTTTTTTATCAATAACCACATTTCATTAATTAATCACAAAAATATTACAAGGATGAAGATAAACTTTCTTATCTTCTAGCTGGAGTTTGAGCTCCCAAGAACAAAAACGGAAAAAATTACACTTGTGCCCAAAACATTAACTCCCTGTCAACTCCTTGCTTAGCTAACCCATCAGCAAAGGAGTTAGCTGACCTTTTCACCCAGCAGATCTTAATTTCCATCTCTTGAACAAGCCATCTAAATTTCCTCCTCTCATTACTGTACATCCATAAACTGCTATTTTCTTTGTTCAGCCACCCTACCACCACCTCCGAGTCCCCTTCAATGATGAGTTTTCTAATATTCATCTCCTTAGCTCTTTGGACTCCTTCCAGAACTGCAAAAATCTCAGCCCTAAGAGAATCACCCACTCCAATTGGGCTTGAAAACAAGGTTAAAACCAGCCCATTCTCATCCCTAAACACACCTCCAATCCCCGATTGTCCTGGATTCCCCCGACTACTCCCATCAAAGTTAAGTTTCAAAAAACCGGCCGGTGGGGGGGGGGGGTCCAATACACACTCATTATTGTTTTGGGCTGGGTGCAGTTAGCAATCTCACTCCATTTCCTCAAATAAATCATCCACTGTGAAGTCTGTAAACAGCTCTGAAGATTTCAGCCATTGTACTGTCCTTATATGGATCAAACCTCTCAATTCTTCACTGTCCTTCTCTTATTCAGAGAAGATCCTGGAATTTCTTTCCTCCCACAAAGCCCAACATACAGCAGCCCTCAAACATCTCCACATGGTTCTTCCCCTTTTCAATCGGCACCTGAAGAAGGGGAAAAAAGGCTTTGCAAATTTGTTGGAGGATTCCAACTACCCCCAAAGAGGGATAATGCCCACACCCAAATGGACTTAGCAAACTGGCAATTTACCAATAGATGAAAACCAGTTTCACCATTCGCTTTACATAGAACACACCAGTTAGGAGACAAACAAGTCTTGGGCCTCTTCTTTTGGAGCAAGTCACCAGTATTGGTTCTTTCCAGAAAAACTTCCCAGCAAAAACCACCAACTCTAGGGGGGATTGGTCTGCACCAAACCTCAGTGACTAGGAAGGGGGAGGGGGAATAGGGCTAGGGGGCTGACTTAGAACTTTGAAAAAAGAGGCACAAGAAAAGGAGCCAGAGGGGGTGGGGGTCCATATTCTAGAATCCAGCCTAGTAGGGTCCAAGAAAACATTATCAAGGAGACCAAGGAGGTTCGAGATACTATTCAAGTCTGTATCTCTCACAGCCCTTCTCAAGCCCAGATTCCACATTTTGTCTAATCAACACATTTTCTTCTTCCATGTCTTCTTCTTCTTCTTCCTCCACCTTTTCTTTTCTTCTTTCCTATAACAGAAGTAGAGGTTCAGCCCCTATATTTTTTGAATTTTCTTTACTTTGTTCTTTTTCTTCTCATAAAATGTTGATTTTCTAGACTTAAACATGAAACGTATACTTTTCTTATGAAAATTTTGAATAATTATTAAGGAAAGATGGTTATGGAACCTAGGGAACTACACTCGGATATATGGTTTTACTTAAAAAAATTCATCGCCTAGGCGGACTAGGCGCCCCCTGTCGCCTAGCCTCGCCTTGGCGCCTTGAAAACTATGATTGAGAACTCCTTAAATAAATCATTTACTTTAACCCAATGCACTACCTTAATGGTAATGCTGTCAATCAATTCCTCCTTTGACTTTTCTTTCCCTTGAAAGATTCGGTTGTTGAACGGTTTAGATGTTATGGACCACCCAAAATTGTCTTCGGGATCAGCCTGGAATCACTCTAGAATATTTAAACCAGCCTGATATAGCACTGGTCATTGTTGAACTTTTTTTTGGCTGAGATCTACATGATTGTTGATACTTGCTATTTGGTGCTTATGCAATGGTCTCTTTTGGTTGCTCATACAATGAAAGCCCAAAGTAATTTTTCAGAACTTGGTTACATGAGAGCAAGTAATGTTAACCCTTTCCCAATTTGATTGGAAAAGCTTGGGAAATTGATACCTGGTAATATGAATCCAAGGATGCTTGGTGATGCAGGTTGACAGGACAAGTGATCCTCATAAAGTCAAGATGGAAGCAGAGAAAGGAGAAGACGTTATTTGTATATCTGCTTTGAATGGTGTTGGATTAGAGGAGTTTTGCAATGCAGTTCATGAAAAGCTGAAGGTATGGAGTTGACTGATTTCTTAAATTTGTCAAAAAAAGGTTACTGCTTGTTGATTTTTGAATCTTATATCAAGTGTGGATGGTTGCTAGTAAATTACAACATATTTTCTTTATGTGACAGGATTCTATGGTATGGGTAGAAGCTCTTGTCCCTTTCGACAGAGGGGAACTCCTCAGTACCATACATCATGTTGGAATGGTAGAAGGAACTGTGAGTATCATTATTCCCTTGACCTCAATTTATATTAGTGCATGTGCTTTTGTGTACCTGTTGTGGGGAATTGAACTGGGAACTTTTTGCACCACATGCCACATTTCCCAAGCCCAAAAAGAAGAGAACTGGGAATTTCAATCTCTCTAATATGAATTGGTATTCTTAAGAGCTGTCCAAATATGCCTGCATATCTCTATACATTGGCACCTCAGAAAGAATATTCTGGATTCTAAGTTGATATATAGATAGATAAAAAATGACTAAACAACCATTGATAAGTAACTTTCATTGTAGTGATGTGAGGAAATTAAGGTATGTTAATCATACTCTTTTAGAGAAGTAATTCACTCAAGATTTATCTAGTGTAAAACTTTAAATAACATGGGTGTACATAATGTTGACAAGTAAACCTGGAATCCTTAATATGCCAATGGGAAAACCTTTTGATTCATAATGTTGGAAGAGTTACTATTCTGTGAATACCAATCAAGGGGTGTCAAGGGGTGATCAGCAAATGTAATGGCTGATTCTCTGGCCAAGCAAGGGGTGTCAAGGGGTGATCTGTTTTGGGCTAATTTGTAATTTGTTTCTCAGGTTTGGGCATGTTTTAGTGCTTATGATTGAGTTCTTGGGGGCGGTAACATCTTGTGCCTCTTCCTAGGCTGCATGTATTTCTGATACTCTTTCAATAAAATTACTCTCATTTATCAAAAAAAAATTAAAAAGAAATTATAAATGTACTATATCATGTTTATATAGAAATTTAAAACATGAAGCAACTTAATTAATTTTGTTATTGTACAATGAAGACTACAGGAGCTAATGGAAAGGACTACTTTGGTGTAACTCTACAAGGATGGGAAGATCACAGAAAAGCATCTATGTATAAGAAAATATTTAAAAGGAGATGCTCTAATGGAAAATATGATTCTATTAGAATTGATTGGTGGAACAGGATATATCAAGTTGAACTCAAAACATTGTGACAAGAGTACTGCTGGTGTTGTTTGTGAAGAAAAGAAATTGTCAATGGGTGAAGTATAATAACAGCAAAGTGTTGTTTTTAGGGGGAGAGAGAGAGAGATCATTGATAGGCACTGGAATTGGCTATGTTGTTTAGTTTATGATGCATTAGCAGCTTCTTGTTTATTCACTTCCTTCAAATACCTGAATTGTTTTCACATCATTTAGGATTTGTCTTGGATCATCTGAACCAAGATAAATCTCATGATGAAGCTCACTTTATAACTAGAAGAGTTCCACTGATTGTTCCGTTCCATTAAGAATGTCCTTGATGGTATATGGGCCTTGCTTTACCTTCACAACGAAATAGTAGGTTTGTGCTTTTGTACTTTCTCTGAATTGCCTTTATGTCCATTTGATGATTGCCAGTCTTGTATCGTTTGAGCTAAAGATAAAACTTATAGTGAATCACATTTCAGCTAGATGAGGAATCCTTCCATTGCAACTTGTTTGATTCATGGTTTCCATTCATCCTCATCCAAGCCTTATCCCAAGTATATGGGGTTGCCTACATAAATCCTATTCTTCCATTCCATTCTGTTAAAAGCCATCCATTATATAATGGGAGCTTAAATCATTTCTTACTACTTCAACTCGCCCTTTTTGGTCTACCCCTATCCCTTCTAGCCCCTTCAACTTGCAACAAATCGATTCTTATGGGTGTTGTCAATGGTCTTCTATGCACATGATCAAACCATCTTAGTTTACTTTCTCTCACTTTATCGCCTATTGGAGCTACTCCTAGGTTCCTTTGGATGATTTCATTTCTGACCTTATCCTTTCTAGTTTTTCCATTCATCCATCTTAGCATATGCATTTCTGCCATGCTTTTTTTTTTTCACACATTGTTTCTTGACTGCCCAACACTTTGCTCCATATGGATAGCTGGCCTTACAACTACTTCATAAAACTTTCCTTTTAATCTAAGTGGTATTCCCCTATCACATAAGACTCTGGATTCATCCTTCCATTTTGCCCATCCTGCTCTAATTCTATGGGTGTCATCCTCCTCAATCTCTCCATTGTTATGAATAATCAAGCACAAGTACTGGAAAAGGTCACATTGAGTTATCTCTTGGTCATTCAGCTGACTGTCTATGCTTCAAATTTTCTGATATTTGAAATTTGGTCCCTCATTTTTGTTTTCTTTCTGCAACTTGATCCTAGTTAAGATGATAAGAATCACATCCAAGGCTTTCTAGGCATTCAAAGATAGCCGCCCTTCAGATGAAACAGAATGTTCGGTAATGGTCAAACTAAATTACTGAACTTCACTTTTGAAACTCACCATTTTTTATGGTTCTCATGATCTGATTTATTTCTACATATCCCTTGACTCATTTCACAAGGTCCTTGTGTAAATGAATGAAGATTTATCAAGATTTGTAGGGTGATTAGCAGGGGCTAGGCCAAGACAAAGGGCGGTAGGCACCTTCTATGTATATGCTATTCTTTTTCATAACTTACTAAAGGTTTAAACTGATTGAAAAAAAAAAAGAAAATGAAGATTCATCAAGAAAGCCTGATTAAATAGTCATTGCCTAGTAAGCCACAGAAATGTAAATGTTTTCGATAAGTTCCACAGAACTGTAAATTATTTCATTGTTTCTAGTTTTGATATGGCCATTTTACTGTTCAAATTTGTTGCACCAACTTTTTTGTTGATCACTTTTCACTTTCTTATAGGAATACACAGCAAATGGGACTTTAATCAGGGCACATGTGCCCCTGCTGCTTGCAAGGCAACTCACACCAATGAGGCAACTCTGTAAATCATAATAACCAGTGTGCCCAGATGATTAATCCAATATTTCTAGTGTAATGATACCAGCCTTTTGCAGCTTCTATTAACATTGCATGTCACATAACCAAATGAACTTTGGTTCCCTGCCTCTCATTCCTTGTGTTGTAACACCTGTGTAGCTTATTGTACATAACTGTTGGTGCATGTGCTATCTTCTTGTAACATTTTATCAACTTTAATGAAATAGCAACTTGCATTTTTTTCTCCAAAATCTTTTTATGAAACATCTCTTGTATTATGTGTAAGAAATTTGACTTTAAGTGGACAACCATTACTTGCAGTCAGTTCATTGAATTTAGATCAGTTGTGCAATCAAGAGAAATGTAGTCTAGACTGATTGATCAAGTCTTCCAGATGAGCATAACCAGCTTTTCTTAATCAATAAAAGAATTTGACAGACCGCCCACTACTGTTACTTTAGTGGTAAGGGATTCCAACATGCATATGGTCTGATTTACAGAGCATAACCAGCTTCTCCATTGGCAAGCTGTATTGAGAATAATGTATAGGGCCTACATGCATATGGTCAAATTATCCGAGAAACTACTTCCCTCTTATTTTACTTTATTGTTTTTCTATTTCATCAATACATTTAACTATGGCAGTGGCCAGGGTAGTCGTCAGATAAGCTTGATGGCTTACTGCATGGCAAATCAGTACATGGAAGTTGGCGAATGGTGAGTCCATATTAGCTAACCTGGTTGTTTGCCTTAACTGCTTATTCCATTGGATTGTTTAATTACCATTTTTAACCTAAATTTATTGGTATATGTTATTAACTTGAAAGTTGAAACACAATTCTTAACATTTGGACCAATCCGTTGTTGTGAAATATACATTCAGAATGCCCAATAACTGTATATATAATAGGCTCTGTTGGTTTGGAGTGCAAATCTGAAGCGGATGCAAATTTTTGTACATGGTTTGGATTTGCACACATTTGTCTGTGACCATGATTTGCACCTCTTCCTGATGCAAAATTTGCACCACTTTCTTCCTATATTAATTCTCTCATCTAAATTAGGGAACACATTGTTTTACTTTCTATTATATTCTTCTCAGACCAAAAGCCTTCTTCCTACCTCCGTTCTCTTTCATATAAAATGGGAACCACATCATTCTACTTCCCATTTTACTACTCACAAGTCACAAACAAACAAAATGAACCAGAATTTACACAGCCCATCTGCACTTTTATACATTTACACCAGTGCAAATGGTGCAAACTGCAAACAAACGGAGCCTTATGAATTAGGGAAGGTTGCAGTTGCTGAAGAAGATTTCCCTTCAGGTGGAATATGTAGAGAGTCCAGTAGCCATAACTACATTTCAACACTTGCTTCCACATACTCTACAGTATTGTACACGCATTCGCATTCTCATCGCTAAACATGGTAAAGATCACACTATCTTCCCAATCCTCAAATGTCAATAAATTTTGCCCTTCACTTGAACAATTTACCAATGCTAAATCCTTTTCATCAGATGTGTCTTTTGAAGCGTCATTGTCCATCTCAATCTCTACTCTCTTCCCTGTCTTCTTTCTAAGTTTTTTTAAAACCTTTTGAGGGTTGATTCGTCCTATGACAATAACCTTCTGGTTTATCATGTCTGTCGAGAACTTTTCCACCCCTAGTTGAATTTTAAGATTCAATTAATGGCCTTAAGTACAACAGTTAAAATGATAGAAATGGAGATTAATACCTTTAAATTTCGAAAGGGTTTTAGCAACTGTTCTCTCACACGCATTGCAGTGCATAGAAACTTTGAGTTCTACAGTAACCTGTTGAAAAAGAAAAATCAACAAGGAGCAATGTACATGTGAGAATGGAGATCAAGGAAAATGTAGATTTAATAACTTTACTCTGTCTAAGCTTTTTTTCTCATCTGCCATTAAAAATACAAAAGGGAAAACCCAAAGTTTGCACCGCCGAGATAATTTGGTAATTTGACAAACAATACGAGGAAGATCAATTACGAATTAGCTACTGTTTCTTTCTCTCACGCACTCACATTTCGATGGTGGTAGAAAACCTTTCTGTGTTAAAAAAAAAAATCTGGGCCACACAGTGAGTTATAGCTAATACTGGTGGTGCATACATTAATTTCTATTTTGATCCAAGGGAATATAAAACATCAGCCGGAGAGGAGAGATTTTCGTTGTAACGGACTCCCTCCAACCAGGAAAATCGATTCCCTTTAAGTGAAGAGGCTTAATTTAGGTTAAGCTCATCCCACACCCACGGTAGCGTACGTAATTACATGAGAAGCCTACCGTGGGCCGTGACAAATTGTCCATCACGGCCCGCTTCAATGACGTATGTTTCAAGGCCCATTTGCCCAAGTTAAAACCCAAACATTAATCCAATCTGTACATCAAAATCCCAATGATTTGATTTGATCGGATCTGGTCTGGCAACAAAGAATATTTTTTGTTAAAAACTGCTTTACCCAATTGGGTTTTATAAGTACTTATTTGACATCGTTATCTCATACACTTTTTCCCCTTCACTTCCATTCGGTGAAGATTGATAAGTGTCTCATCACATGTGTTACGGGTATTTACACGTCTAAGAGGACATATATCACAGAGTGAAGTGTAATTAATACAAAGTGTAGGAAATGAGGAGCCGTAGTCACTTCTGTATCCGGCCCTGCGCTTGAATTCAGTTCAGATCTTGGGTTGCAATAAACGGTATGAACTATGAACGTACTACTGAGAAAAGTGACTACTTGTCATCCATAAACACTGGAATTTATGAGAAGCAGTAGCAGATGCAAGGAGCCTGTCAACTAACTACACCAACTGTGTTTCAACTTTCGACTAGCTACCAAGATTTGTGAATGCTGCAGCCCATGAACTTGGTGCAGTTGGACTGAAACTAAACCCTGATTATAAAACCTTTCGCCCTGGAATAATGCTAATAATTTTATACACTTCTCATTGTAATGGATGCAAATACGAATCCCTATGTTGAAATATAACAACATTGATCAATTTGAGTGCAAATGTTTACAGATGTAAAATTATTTATCCTTTTGATTCTAAACATACCTTGCAAATTGTATTTTCTATCAATACACAAATATAGTTTTGCCAAATACTAGTAAAATTGAACCAGAACTCATATTTGCACTGAATCGGGATTTTCAGTTCCCAAACACAGCCTGAGTTCCAAATTATAGCGTAACAAATCAATTATTATTTACCAGTATCCTTCTTTTGTAACAAAGGCTGCATTTATTTGCGTACAAACATTGAACCAGGGTATTTATATACTCCAGTTCAGATTTATGAATGTTTATTTGCCATGCTGCAACGATTAAGGAGGGCTATTTGTTTTTTTCTAACAGTTTCGTATCATAAGGAGAATGCAGTACTTATCTATTTGATGGATACAAAACTGTAATTTTGATTCTCAATGTGTATAATCGAGTGAGAGAGACCACGTACAACTAGGGGTGTCAATAATATTTGGAAATCCAATTTCGAATTCGATATTTGACATACTCGAATCAAATTTGGATAATTAGAATATCTAATCGACCGAATTCAGATATCCTATTCATATTGAATAATTAATCAGATTTGAATTTGGATATGACCAGATTCGATTCGATAAATATCCAAATTCGACCGATTACTTAATTCTTATGTATAATATATAAAATATTTATTTTATATATTCATATAAATAAAATATATAATAATTAATTGATCAAATTTAAATCAAATATTCAAATATTTAATCGAATTCAAATTTAAATGTTAATTTCAAATATCTATCAAATATCAAATTAAAATCGAATATTGAATTTTCTAATCGGTGGATTTAAAACAAATAATTAAATAAGTGAGCAAAATGAGTTTACAACTGCGAACCATTTTCTCTTTCCCAGCCCATTGTTTCCTTTTTCTTTTTTTTTTACCTCTTCCATATTATTTTTGGTTGTTACTGGGCGACCAAGTGGTCTTCAACCATTCCACGTATGCTCGGTATTTTTTTTTTTTTCTTTTTTTGAGGACGAGATTCCCACACCTTTTGTAGAAACCGTTTACATCAGAATACATTACAAAGAATTGGGCGCCACTGGTTTCTACTTCCCAGTTCCCAGCAATCCCTGAAGTCCTGAACTTGCTTTTTAATTATTTAATTAATGGACGACGGACGCAGCAGAGCAGAATGGTATTATTATATTTGGCAACTTTTTAACAAGAGTCCAAGACTCCAAAACCACTGTACAGTCTACAGTGTAGACAGGAGGACAGGAGCACACAAGGTCAAATCGCACACAGATACTAGGCCCCCGGTATCGCAGAGGAGTAATGTGGTCGCATTTGCATATTAACTGGTGCTAAAATGGACCACTTTTGGTCCGATTCCTCCTTCATTCCATTATTAATGCACCTTTATGATCATCATTCAAGCCTTATTATATCAACAATTATTGACTTTTAAATCATTTCTTACGATTTTTACCCATTTTCTTTTTCTCTACCCCTAACCCTTCTAACCCCACTTCATCTGAGTGAAAATTCAATCTATACCCCATTTCAGCTGCCGACTGGATTGATTGGAAACCTCTTGGATTTAGTGCTTATGCTCATTTAGTTTGCAATGTATATCATCTAGCTATTGAACCGATGGATGAAAAGAAAATAAAAATAATAAAGAGATTTTTTTACATCTTCTTTTTAATTTGTTAGAGTGACAATAAGGCAAGAAAAAAAAATGCTTGAAGAGAGACATAAGAAGGAAAGATAAATGGATATTTCCTTTCTTTTTTACAGTACCAATTAGACGGAAATTATGTAGAAAAGAAAATTATTTACCATCCAGGCAGCTAGCTATTGATCCAAAATATCATATGAAGTCATCAAATTAAATAAAGAAGCAAACCAGATTTTGAATGTTGACTGTGATTCAAATGCCTGTAAGTATATATTTGAGCTGTTTCTAATCATTAAGGATGATTTCAAGAGTTCTTTTGCATATTTTAATCGATAAATTTATTAATTTACACTACTTTTTTCTCTTCTTTATATCAAAAAGTTCTTCTCTTTATGTAAATTAAGTGGAAATCCGCTCTGAAAAGAACCCCACTGCCTTTCTATCTTGACTCTCTAAAACTGAAAAACCCCCCAGCAATTCGATTGGTGTCAGGGATCAAATACATATCAAACAATCCAACCATGTTGATTTTTTGGTACAGAATATGTTTTGAACTTTTGGGTGGGGCAGAATGCATTGAAAACCAGGTTAAAATGGATCTCCATTTTGGGTGGGGCAGAATACATCTCCATTTTAACTGCATCTTTTTGCAACCTTAATTATTCTTTATAAACCAGATATTATCTGAAGTCTCGTCAATGAATAAAATGGATCTAAATGAATCGCAGTTGCCAATTGTGAAGCAGAATGCATTGAAATAACTGCCACAATGTAGTTGCTAAAGTTAGAAATCTGTTGGTTCTAATCTAATTTGTAAACCAGGTTAAATTTTACCCTTTCATAACTACATTCCTGTGAGACAAAACACTAAATTAATTGGCTGTTCTAACCTGTATATCTGGAAACCGGCATAAATAATTTACAGAAGATTCAACATAGAAAACCCCCCCATCAAGACTAAAATGTGGAGGAAGAAAAAAAAAAAAAGGAAGAAGAAGAAGAACAAAAGATGAAAAAGGTTGCTTGTTTATTTTCCTGCTTGGGCGTGGTTCTCAAGCACCGATACAAGGCGTAGCACATTGGTTGCTACTTGATATTCTTCGGCATGAAAACGGAGGAAAGATCAATCCCTGTCTCTGTCTCTCAGAATATTTCTTCCTCTTGGCATCAGGGATGAGTTGTTGCTTCTTCAGATCTTCAACACACTCAACGCCAGCCATACACGAGAACGATCGGGATTTCCCCGAGTAGTACCTCGACAGCCCTTTTCTGCTGGAAACGCAAACAATTAAATACAACGTTAATGGAAAATTAAGCAGAAAGGTCTGTAAACAACAATGGATTATCTCAGACACTTACTTTTGAGGAAGATTGGTTCTGAGCGAACTCATATCGAAGGTTGTTGAGTCCTCCATTTCCTTGTTTGGACTGTGCCAGGTGGTATCCGATACGAAGTCGGCCATGTTGATGTTGGTTTGAAGAGACTAGAGAGGAGGAGATGGAGAGAGTGAAAGGGGAAGGATCGAGAATGGCTTATTTATACAAAGGCCTGAATTTGAGAAAAACGGTTTGTGTTTGAGGACAGAGTACCGGCCAGATGAGATAATATATATATAGGGATATTGGGGTTGGAGGGATAAGTGTTAATACGCCAAAGGAATGAATGGATTGGGATGGACGATGAAGTGCGTATTTATCGTTCGATAAGGGTGGGCTGGATCTGGATTGATTCGAGTTTATGTGGCTTTTTTACGGATACAAATACAGATACACGAGTTCACATTTCCGCTCCACAGTACATCTCCGCCGTGTATTGGAAACATTTCCCGAAGATAAAATCATCGATTCTGATACTCGGGAGATATTATTAATACACGACGGGGATGTGCTGTGGGGCGGAGATGTACTGCAGACACACTACTCACTCGTCCCCATCCTTATTATCTACATCCTCTCTCTTCTTCATCAACAAGTGCACTTTTTCACGGCCCAATCAGAAAAAGAAACTCGCACTTTTCGAATTCTGGGGCCCAGTCTTTGTGGCAACTGACAATTCGCATTAGATTGTACGGAGCGCGCCCCACAGTACCGTTCATTTGGGATCATCTTCCCATAAATATAATATATATAAATACGGAGATGTTCTGGTTGTGCGGTTGTAAGAGCTGTGAAATGGGTCCGCATTCGGAACTTTTAGGTTTCCAGCTGTGCACTTTTTATCTCACTTTTTAGCTTTTACACGTGGTTTGCTACTTTAACACATCTATCAATTTGTGGTCAAGATATTTTCATTCTTTGGTTATTTACACTGAAATTTTGCGTTCTTTACGTGCAGATGCTGGCGGAGCTGTCAGATCTTCCGCTGGGCTGAGTTGTACTAAATTTTGTTTTTTTTGGGGTTTCATAAGGGCAATTTTTTACCCTGAATATCAATAAAAAATAATAATTTTGTAAAATAACTAAAATAAGATAACTTTTGGAGATAAATATCAAAAAGGGCATTCGCACTGTTCATCGTCCTCCTCTTCCTCTACCTGTATTCATGCCAGCCATTTCAACGGGTAAACGACAGCCCGCGTTGGCTTCATTCCCTGCAAACCCAGCACCTAGGCCGTCGTCCCCAGACGCCAGACTGGTCTTTCCTGCATTTCTACCACTACCTCCTCTGTTGTCGTCTCCAGACGCCAGACCGGTGTTGCCTGCGTTTCTACCACTGCCTCCTCTGTTACTATCATCCAGCTGCTGCTGATTATCGCCGATACCGATCATCTTACTTTCCTGCTCTTTGGTCTTGTCCACCCCGGCCATGGCTGAATCGGCAATGTTCGAGACGGTATCCCTCATGACTGGCATGAATAAGGCAGAAAGACGATGAAGCCAACGCGGGATAGCGTCTGGAGACGACAGCCTAAGTGCTGGATTTGCAGGGAATGAAGCCAACGCGGGCTGCCGTTTACCCCGTTGAAATGGCTGGCATGAATACAGGCAGAGAAAGAGGAAGACAATGAACAGTTCGAATGCCCTTTTTTGATATTTTATAAAATTATAAAATTATTACCTATTAGACTAGAGTAGAAATTTCACCAAGTGCGACCGAGTTCCTTACACATGTCGTGGCATAGTTGTCACGACGTTCCTCCATCAATTCCCCATGTGCCGTGCAAAGCAAGTTAGGGCTTTTCATTTGCAACCCCATCTCAACTTTTTCCTACACTTCTCTATTCACTGTATGTCAAAACTGAATGCAATTACATGAAAAAGAAAAAAAAAATTGCAAGAGTCCGTATTAACAAACAAACAAGTAGTAAAACTTTAATAAATATTGCTCAAAATACCAACAACAAGAATAAACAAACAGAAAACTAAACAATATTAATAGAAACAAAAACGAAAGAAGTTATCTACTTGATTAAACAGAAAACTATTTAGTTGACAGACAAGATGCCAATCAGCTGGTTGGTTGGTAAGGTTTCCTGGTGGTAGAGATTTAGGATTGAATCCAGTTTGCACCTGGGTTGGAAATAGGCTACTTCCGTTGTTAGCTCTTCAAAAAATATCAGAAAAAAAATAAACTAATTATTTGAACAGAAAAAAAAAAATCTAAACATCTAGATTTCTAAAATTGTTTGGAAACACCAACAGTGAAGGATAATGCCTCCAAAACCATATCTCAGCCAATGAAACTTCCATAGCCGTGAAGTCTAAAAACTAACCTCCAACACTAGTCTAACCAATCAAATCCCTCCAAAAGGATAAATACAAAAAAAAAAATGTTGTTATTATATTGTTATTAATTATCATAGAGAAGTTTGAACTTCTATCATGGTGTTTAGAAGCGTGGGCAATTTTGGGGACTGATCTTCAAGAAAAAATGCCTATGCTTTCAAGACCTGTTTTTCACAAAAATATGCTTCTTCCACATAGGCAGTGAGAAACACTATGCTGTTTGGTAAGGTGATTTTCATCACCGTTTCATGTATGTACTGACAGATAAGCATCACATAGGATATACATCAGTCAACCGGTGGGGTCCCAATTTTTTAATAATCGACTAAACGAGACGATAAACATGGACGTTTGTTAAAACGCCTATGTGGATCTGACGTGACACCATTTTTTTGAAAAACAACCACGGTTCCAAACATCCCCTATATTGTTGTTAATCAAATATTACATGGGAAAATTCTGAATAAAATACGACTCAGATTTTAGTTACATGCAAATAGCCAAAGTATATGAAAGAATTGTTATTGTGGATGAATTATGGCGGAGGAAATGGAATTTGTCTTAATAACATCAAATGCTCATCCATTGGATACAAATGTAAATAATAATGTAAAGTGAGGAGGCAAAGGTCATGTGACTAAGAGTAAGGGTGTCAATGGATCGGTTTTGAATTGGACCTCGTCCAAATAAAAATCAATTTGAATGGATTGAACAGACCAACAGGACATATTAAATTGGACAAACTCAGAATGGTCCAAAGTGTTTATTGAATTGGATTGGACCTAATCTGTTCATAATGAATTTATATTGGATTGGGTTGGGTTGAGCCAATATCTGATCCATTAATATAAGATAAGAATATAGGTGTCAATGAACCAGGTTTGGGTTGAAACCAATGTAAATTAAAATAAATTTAAACAAATTGGATGGTCCAAACATTAAATTGTGCTGATTCAAAATAATCCAAATAGATTGGATTGAAGATGATCCATTTGTAATTTGGACTGGATCGGATTGAACTAAATCCGGTCGAATTGACACCCCTACATGTGAGATGATGAAGTTTGCCCGTTTATATTATTATTTAAAAAGCTGTATAACGTTAGAAAATTGAGCACATATAAATATAATAAATACAGACAGCCGAATTGTATTGGGTTTAAGTCCACTAGACCGTATGCATGCAATTTGGGCAGGCTCGGTCATGTTTAATTAAGTCGAACCTTAGCCAACTTGTTTATCCCAGTTAGAGCCCGGCCCAGGCCCAATGTAAAAGCTGGATATGGCCAATGCAATTAGGGATGTCAATGGGTCAGGTACAGGTTTGCCATAATCCTAACCCGACCCTCCAGAACTCCAACCTGAATTCGATCTGGTTAAAAAATACATGATACCCAAACCCAATCTGATCTTATAGGGTTTAACTCGATTCCAATCTGATTTAACGCGTATAATTTTAAATGTATTTTTAATATACTTTGAAGATTTAAAATAATATTAATTTAAATAAAGAAATTGTTTTATAGATTTTAAAATGTTATTTTTTCCATTTAAAAAATAAGAAAATCAAAATTAACATATAAATAAATTATAAACTTTTAGCATATAGGTTAGAAGTCAAAAAATTAAAAGAACACTTGTTACATATACAAGGTATCATGACCCGTTCCGTTAGGTCAACCAAAACCCAAACCCAATTGGGTTAAATAATCAAAACCCTAATTCAACCCTAAATCAAATATACTTGACCCAAACCCAACCCATTGACATCCCTAAATCCAATCCTTGCCCACTTTTTCAAAGGTCACATCTAAGATCTAACAGTGGCATATCTGAGCATCAGCAATTCAGTATGATTAGAGAGATACCAATTATTTCTGAGAGAATTTGAACGATTATAATAGTTTTTTTTTATATTTAAATCTATGATACCAGAAAGATATGAAATCGAAAGAGTTTTAATTAATCAAAACTCACCCATAAATTTGATAAATACATCTGAATGATTACACGTTTATGATAGATTGATTAGTCACTAAGTTTTTTAGATATCATGTCTTTCCAATATTATAGTCGAACCCATTTTTTTCTAGGTTAAAAAAAAACAACTCTACTCTCAAATATTTTAACTATATTTTCACCCCTTTTATCAAAACAAATGCAACGAATGACACTCTCAACTGTCCAAATTTATGCAACAAAACACCGGTAACAGTAGCCATTTCAATTTGATATTTTCCCATTTAATACCCAACTTTGAGAGCACTCAACAATTTAAAAAAAAAAAAAAGTCAACTCAACAAAGCATTACCCCAACCACATGGGGTCGGCATTAAATTGTGGCCCTGCATATTCATCTATGGGCTCTATGGATTCTTAACTCGGGGCTTGAATTTGATCAATATATTTTCAAAAGCCCACTAATTTATGGATTTAAAAGTGAAAAAAAAAAATCGAGATAAGCACAACTGCACAAGACCCTTCAATATTTTGGGCATCCGGACCTGAATGCCTCTGCCTACCGAAGATCGAGCTCATCTGGAGACTTGACTGAGCTTGATCGTTACCGCAGGGGCGTCCGCTGGACCGAGGATAAGGAATTGAAATAAGGAAATTTGGGCTCTGGTTCATTGACAAGCCCATTGTCCCGTAATTGGCTTCCACTGAAACCTTGGTTTCCTTGGTAATAAATGACAGTGCCTTGATTTAGAAGGTAGGTACTAATGGGTTCAATGCAAATATCATGCAATTAAACATTACCCAAACCCATGAAATGAGTCCAATCCGAAACGAGAAGCAATATTGCAACTAAAGGTGTCAATGGACTGGTTTTGGATTGAATCTTGTCCAGTCCAAAATCAATTTGGACGAATTGGATTGGACTTGGTATGTTCATAATAAATTTATATTGGATTGGGTTGGATTAAGCTAATATCTAATTCATTGATATAAGATAAGAATATAGATATTAATGGACCAGGTTTGGGTTGAAACCAACTTAAATCAAAACGAATTTGAACAGATTGGATAGTCTAGACATTGAATTGAACCGGTCCAAAATATCCAAAATATTCATTAACTGGATTGGACCTGGTCCATTTATAATGGACACATTGGACTGGATCAGATTAGACCAATTCCAGTCCAATTGACACCCCTAATTGCAACTTGTCAAGAGAATTAGTGCATTTGTTTAGTTAGGCTGGCTGGGCATGTCAGATAAGACTAGGCCATGGCCCATGATTAGGTGCCTCCCTTCCGAGATCCGAGTCCTCCGACCATTTCAAAGCTTTAAATGACAGCAACTAAAATTGCCATTAACCCCTTGATGCTCTTTATCATGCTTCAGTCTATTGAGATAATGACAGAACCACGGCTTCGTTTTTAATGGTCCATGAAAAAAGGTGGAAGGCGCAATGTCATCTTTTTTTTTTTTCTGGTGGGGTTGGGGGGGGATAAGTTGCAATCCACCTAAGAAATCTGAAATTGCAGCCCCCTCTTAGTTTACTAGTAGCCCCCTTATAAACCGCATCCTGTCCATGAATTTAGCATTAATTCACTGACAGGATTCAGTCCACGCCTAGAAATTTTAACTCCACCTTAGAAGTGGACTGAACTATTAAAACCCCTTTTTTACTGTAAGTTGTGTTTTGTTTGAAGTAAAAGGTAGGAAAAGCTATAATACAAGGGTTGTATAAGGTTTCTCTACCCTTTCCTTCAAACCAAACACTATTAAGTGAAAGAGGTAAAACAGGTGACCGAATAAATCAAAATAGTAACTCCAAACATTGCTTTATTATGTTCAAATATATAATCGATCTGATCTAATCGAGGACCAGTATTTAACATAAAACCAATCTTATCCTTAGCAATATGAGATTTGTGGTTGGAAGTAGATGTGCCGACTTGCTAGAAGTTATGCAGTCTTTGAAGCTAATTCAAATCTTCTGACTGGCCTTAGAAAGCTCATGCAAGAGGGTTATATTGACAAGATCTCTTTCATTTTATAATGTGATTTGCTTGCTTGCTTTGGATGGGCTTAAAGAGGGTTAAGGTGAGAACTTTTTTGTTTTGGGCTTGGGGCAAGTGGACATCTTTAATCTTTGAAGATGGCGGCCCCTCACTTGTAAAAAAGTTTCGAGTTTAAATAAAGTATTTAACGAAGGTTAAAAATTAGGATCACAATATTGACTTACTTACAATTGCAATGACAAGGGAAAAAGAATGTTATTAGTAATTTAGTACTACCACCACCTATCACGCTCTCTCCAGTAGTCCAGCAGTAATTTATAAGTGGTTAGTAGTGGTTAGTGGTTAGTGATCAGTGGTCAGTGGTCAGTAGAAGGAATGAAATTTACAAATTACAACGGCTGAAACGCACTACTTTTACTTCCATTGACCGAAGTAAAATCCGCAAACTTACAATGACAAAAAGGCCATCCTTTTTTCGATGGATTAACACTCAACAAATAACAACACAGCTAGCAGACCATCATCTACGAAATAGGAATCACAGACTTGAAATTTGAAGAGTGAAAACAAAATGGCGCACGTACATGGAGTACGTGAATATATTATTACTGTCTAAGGTCTATGAGCCACAATCAATCCCAAAGGCGAAAGTTGTTGACCTAAGTTGAGCCTAGCTAAGCTAAGCTAAGCTAATTAATCAGACTGTTAATTCACCTTCCTGCAGTTCTTCCTGATCTCCCCTTGGGATCCCGTCAAGGGGGAGATGTTACCCATCTTAACCATGGATTTAGCGAATTGCTCGAAGAAAATTTGGCTATTCTCTGCGTATTTCTTCACCAAATCCATGGAGGCTTCGTTCTTTGTTAAGAGGACCTGATCCGAATTTAGCAGCCCCTTCGAAACTAAAATGTTCTTGTAGTAATTGTTGTCAAATTTGGTCGGGCTAACAAAGTCCAAGAAGAAGAGGTTCTGGTCACCACCGGATCTCGGGCAACGGGTCTTCAGTTGGGCCGCATATGACTGGTCCAGCGAGTAATCGGGCTGTCCATTGCCTGTCTGGTTGTACAGCCTTTGCCTGAAGCTGGTGCATCTAGCATTTCCAATGGTGTGACTCCCTGCAACCCATTAATGAATAATAATACAGTACGTCGTTAAAACCATGGCAGTGTAGAAGTGGAACCAAACGAAATTTTAACTTGTTTCAGGGTCATAAATAATAAGTCCATATTCTAGAGGCCCAACCCGATCCACTTGAATCCCATCCCACCCTTTCCGGGGTTTGGGTTGACTATCTCAACCCAGTTTAATTCCTGGTTCACGTTTGTCACTCTCCAATCAACCTGGCGAATTCTTAATTTCTCATCACGAGACCTGATGAATCTAAGACTGATCCACCATTAATTTATTCCCTGTTTCAACTTGACTTGAACTTTCACCACACCTGGGCCCCGGAGCCATAACCCAATTCTCCAATGGAGCTCAACGGAGTTCGGTGGCTTTTATTCAAAGTCCCCCCCTCACCTCACCTGTCAAGTTACCCCAACCTGATCACTACTATTCCATGGATGCTTGTGTTTCACAGTTCACACGGCATTCAGGCCCAGACGGTCAATCAACATTCCTAATTGAAGATTTCATTAAGACACTTCACTCTGCAGTGTAACTAACGAAAACAGAGGACTGAAACGAAAAGGCAAAGACGAAGAAAAGGTGAGTAAATTTACCAGAGAGGGCAACGAGATCGACGACGTCCAGCCCCTTCAACTTGAACTTAGTGAGAATAGTCTGGAATGTATTGTTTGGTGCGGGAATGTTGTTGTTAGAGCCACTTAAGCTAGCACTTTTGGCATCTCTTCTTCCCAAGGGAACCTCCCAGCTAGGACCCCCAGCCTACTCGCACATTATGAGGATCAAACCTGTTAAGAATTGAGTCTCGCCTAGAAGCTAGCTAGCATTCAACTCATTTTTTGAAGTTAATTAGCTCGACCGAACAAGGGTAGTTACCACTTACCAGAACGGTAGAGTCTCTAGCAGCAAGAGTCAGGATATCAGCGCAAGAAACGGTTTGTGGGCATTCCTTCTCCACTGCAGATTTTATCTCGTCAATGACTTCGAATCCTCGTGCTGAGTTGCGGTTTGGGTTCGCTCGCTTCTCGCTGATTATGCCTCCGCTGCTGTCTAACAGTATTGATGCATCACAGCCCTGTAATGGAGCAAGTCTTTTAAGTACTGAAAATTCTGAAATCCAGTGAATTAATTTTGTTTTAATTATAAAAAAAAATAAAAGGGTACTTGAGTCAAGCTCAAAAGATGAAATCATGAAAATCCCATATTGCTGGGATGATTCTCAGGTTTTGTGGCACCATAACCATAGAAAAAGTTCTTATATGACCAAAATACGCCCTAGTATATATCTTACATAGGCCATAAGCGAGCATTAACGAACCTTGACAAAGCAATCATGGAAATGGAGCCTCAGCAATGAAGCAGCCATTCGAGCTTCTTTGGCGACTGCTTTTGCGACAACCGACTTGACGATCTCTTGAACTTTCGGGCAGGAGTGATCGTAGAATTGCGGGGAGAGGCCGCCATTGCTTTGCTGACAGAAGCACAGCGGAGACAGGGCAAGAAGTGAAAGAAGGAGAATGCTCTTGGAGAGAGCCATTATTTCTTTTTTCAAACCAAACGAGATATAGATAGCTAGGATTTCTCAAGGCTGTTTGTGATGAAGATTTCAGATGGGTTTGGGTATTTATAGAGACTCATGTGTGAGCCAAGAGCTAAAACTTTGTGAAGAAAATGGGAAAAAAAATAAATAATAAATGATGGAAAGAAGAAAAAACATAGAATATAAAAAGAAAATGTAAAAACTAATCATCAAATGAAGAAAGTATGGAAGGATTCGGTAGCTTTAGGGAGACTCGTACAGATTATCTAGACAGCTTGATTGATTTCAACAACGTGGACTATAGAAATTTGGGTTCCCTACTAGGAAATGACTTCATAGTCCTTAATACTTATCCACCAAACTGACAAAGTAATTGCATGGGAGCAAAATTGGAATCAAAGCATTGTGCCGCGCGCTTGTAAAATCCCTTCAGATCCAAGGGTCCATTTGGTTGGCAGCCCAAAATTGAAATTGAAATGGGAATTAAAATTCTATAATATGTTTGGTTCAGATGGAAATCAGAATCGAAATTGGAACCATCTAATATGAAATATCATTCCTAGGGGAAGGGGAGGGCATGACTGACTATTCACTCAAACCTCTACGAATAGAGATAGAATTCTCTACCCAACCAAACAGTTAGAGAATGAAGACCCCTAGTCCCATGAACCAAACGGACTCTAAAATTAGGGTTAATACGAGCATTGCAAGTAATACCCACAATTAGGAATGGCAACGGGTAGGGTATCCATGCAAATTGCCATATCCATTCTCAAATTCGCTTTTGTATCCCTGATTCTAAATCCATCATAAATCCATCTAACTTTTCCTCTCAATTTCCCAAATATATCTTGTCCTATACCCATACCCCTGTCCCACTCGTTAAACCCCTGCACCAAATATTTTCTACTAAAATCCACTTCTTAATGCTTATAGTGTGACTTTGAACCTAGATCAATTAATGATAGCGTCAAACCTCTTAACACTACTTTAAACCACTAAGCCATCTCACCTTTTGTGTTATTTAATGAAATAAAATAAATTTTATTAACTTTTGTGTTCATCAAACCAATCAACCCATATATATGATTAACAATTTTAACTAAAAATTAAAAGAAATAATATTTAAAATTAGCATTTTATAACAAAATGGAATAAACAATCTATCAAATCTAAATTTACATCAAATGATGATTTTAATCCTAAAAAATGTATACAAATAAAATATTAATAATAGAATAATTATCTCAATACTTAAAATTTATAAATTTGTACATAATATGTAATATAATAGATTCATATTCATGCATCCTGGATATCAGATCCCTTAAAGTAAAAACCCAAACCTTACAGGATTTTTAATTTAAAATACCAAACCCTGTAAGGTTTTCACAAACGAATCTTATTAGGGTCAAAACGGGTCGAATACCCGAAAATTCCCGTGAAACTGCCATCTCTACTCACAATGATTCGATCTAATGCAAGGCCAAATTGTGCGGTTCAAGACCAAATGGGTAAATTGTACCCATCAAAAAGATCAAATGGGTAATTCAAATAAAAGGGTATTTTGATAAATTCCTGCCTAGACAAAGTGACAAACCGGGAGTTAGTCAACAGGATTTGCTTTAAATTGTTGCATCACGCAGTGAGTAAATGCATGAAAGTAGTCGCGGAGTAGGAACGGAAAATGACAAATGTCCTTCGACAAAAGTTGGGTCAGAAACACAAAGTTTTATTTTAAAGAAAAAAAAGAACTTTCCTTCGGTTGGACTCCATCTTCTCTTTCGATTTGATAGTACAGCATTATAACACAGAGGTTAGGGTTTCTGTAGGTGATAGCTCCTTATTGTCGGTTGTCACCTCCAGAAGCCACAATAAACGACGCAGCGAACGGTGTCAAATGGGATGGTTTGTGTTTTGAATACTGAAAAGTGAAAAGTAATCAAGACCTACCCGAATTTATATCGGGTCGAGACCCTATTATCATAAACCCGTGAGGACAAAGGCCGTGTTTGGTTTCTTTGCCGTTTTGAACTAAATTTGTCTTAAAAATTGAAAAGAAGAAAACGTTTGATAAGCTTAAAAAAAAAACCTGAGAAAATGTTTTGTCATTTCAACAATGCCATTTTGATAAATGCTTTTCATATAACCTAAACAAATGCTTTCCTTATAAATAGTTAAAGCAGACAAAGTTGGTGTTTAGCATCGGTGCTGGGAACATCATACATTTTTTTTCGTAAAAACAGTGTTAGACATGTAGAGTTTTTAGCACCATTTTCTCTTATTTTTTGTTTGGAACCGATGTTGCAGCATAAATTGTTTTTTGAAAAAAAAATAGTATTAGTTTTGTTTGGTATCAGTGTTGGCAACAATGTTTTTAACATTGTTTATATTATCCTACGTCCAACCAAGATGATGCCACACCATTGTACCGTTGGCAACAATGCATTGTTTTCTCAGAAAACATTGAATTTGGAAGACCGGATCTGTTTTTCACACCTGGCACCTCACACGCACATCCTATCATGCATTGGGAACATCTCCCATACTTATTAGTTATAATTCACGGGAGATGTTCCCAATGCACAGTGGATGTGCTTGTGAGGTGCCCATTTGCGAGGAGCATAACCCATCACTGAATTTGGCGTTGCTCCAAATCACACTTTCCCAATTTCCAAGTCGTGGTCTGGAGCAACATTTTTCTAAAAAAATTGTACCAAACAAGGGGCACTATTTGAAGCACAACTTTCTTTGATGTGGCACCTACATGGCGTCGTTTTCTCGAAAAATGGCATCGATGCCAAACACCGCAAAAAATTATGATTATATTTGGTTTCAAGGGTATTTTTTTGCCACATCAACACCACATGGTTTTTAGTGTTTATTGTGCATGAAACCACTATTTAGTTTCAACACTCGTTAAATAAACAATGAAAACAGAAATGCTTGGATTTGTGTGCATGAGGCATTGGGGGAACTTCAAATTCTCATTTCCCCAACACCCCAACTTTTGTTGAAATGAAAAGCTTTTGTGGCATATTTTATGAGGTGTTAATATGAGGTGAAAAGTAACTTTATGGGGTGTTACATGAAACATTCATGAATTATCCAACCAAATAACAAAAGCAACAAAGTAGCAATTTTCAAATAAACATTTAAAGCAATAAACACCATCTATAAATGCCCACGAAATCAAACACATACTAAATCTCCACTGTAAAAAGGCCTATTTGATGCTGACTTGGCAGCAATTTTTTGATGAATGGCAATGGTTTGGTACATAGTTGTTTCTCCAAGTCATTTCTTCCATGTCAGTGTCATATAGATATTTTGCTCTCTCTCTCTCTCTCTCGCATTTTATTGTTTGGTTGAGTGTTTTCAAGTCATTCATAGCAAACACTAGATTCTCCCACTTTTGTGAGAGCCACCTTTGAAAAAAAAACATCATTTAGATAATATATTGTAACGAAAACAGCATTTTCTCCCTTTTCTTTTACCTATTTGATGTTTAATTATCATTAAGGCCCTGTTTGGTTCATGGGAATAAGAATTTGGAATAGGAATTAGAATCCAATTCCAACTGTTTGGTTGGGCATAATCAGAATCCCATTCTCATTCCTGGTGGAATAGCCATTCCCTCCCCCTCCCTTGGGAATGAACTGATTTCAATTCTCATTCTTATTCTCATTCCTGTTTGAACCAACTAGACTATGGGAATAGACCATTATGATTATAATTCTGAAGGATTCTGATTCCAATTCCAACTGTAAATCAAATGGACTCTAAATACATAACAATATAAAATATATAAAAAAACATATAATTACTCCCCTGAATTTCAAAATATGATCGTTGTCCAAAAAAACAACAATAATACCAAACACCATCAAAGTGGTTTCATGGTTTAGCCAAAAAAGCGGCTTTTATCGAATAGAAGAACACCCATACACAAACAATAACTCAATGAGACCGTGATCTCTCAAGTAAGTTGGTGGGTCGGGCCGGCAAATTATTTTGCTACATCAAGTTAGAGGTGGGAGGAGGGGGAATTTTGATGGATGTATTTTGTAGTGTGTACCATGGTTTTAAAAAACGACCTGAAAATGGAATTATTCTAGCCACCGATTTTCAGGTTGACAGTTCGATTCGAATGGTTGGCCTGTTCTAATAAAATTAGAAATAATAAAAAATAACTAAAATCATTGAACAGGTCGACAGGTTGATGGTTCAACCACATGAGTCAATAAATCATTAATTAATTTAACGGTTTTTGACCAAATAACAGGTTTAAAATAAAATGGAACCAATTACTTAAACGATTCACGAACCAAATGATCTGACCGTCCCGGTCAACAGCGATTTGAAAACCAAAAACTGTGCATGTGGGGTCCTTGATCGTTAGCATTGTTGAAATAAATGAGGCTAAATTTATTTAAATATTATAAAACATGGAACAAATATGATATTATGATATATTGATATGGTTGATAGATCTAATGGGTCCTACCTTAAAATTTCATGTGGTAAATTAAGGTCAAGACTAGACAACAGTCCACGCATAATCCTACACCTTTTATTGAAGGAGAAATCTTTTTCGGGAACCGTTGAAAGATCCTTTTCATCTGTGTCATGTGTCGTTGTTAAGCTTAATAGACAGTCATTCCCATCCATCTATCAGACCTTTAAGCCAGAGAACATTATTGAACCGGAAAGGCGGGGATGGACCGCTGGATGCCTATTGCCTGGATCATAAATATCTTTTTTTAGCATGCCCGGTCCTGGTTCCACCAGCAGCAATCCAGCGTGCATCCAATATAATGTATGTAAGAGCCACCGGTTAATCCGGGTTTCAAGCTAACCCCAACCTCACCTTGGGCCTATTGGTTCGATCATCTGGTACTCCACGTTCTTTATCATTAGGACTAAGCTTCTCTAATTTGTGTGTCGGCGAGATGCCACTTCAATCTCTAATAATGTAGGAACATTATAAAGCGATATTATATGATATCGTTTGGTGAAATGGTTTGTTAAGAAAATATAGGTAGGGTTGGAGAGCTAGTGAGCTACTCCCTTCGTTTTGT